ATTATAAAAATAAGTAGATAAAACATTAGTAGCATTATATACATGTTAAATTATAGTAATGAGCATATATAAGTAATTTCCATTTACCATTCTTTGATCATGGAAATCTTAAAGATGTTTCTTTCCCATGTGATAGATTACATAGTTTGCTTTGTTGCGGAGAATATGCACAGTAAAAGACATTTTCCCTCTGGGTCTGGCCCCAGCCCTATCCAAACATTCAATGTCTTTTGTATTTCCCTTTTTTTTTTCTGCTTTGGATAATAAAAATAATACCTGCTCAGTATATAAAAATTCAAACATATCAAGTACAAAGAAAGAAAAATCAGTGCAATACCACCATCTAGAAGTAACAGCTATGAACAACTGGGTGAATATACCAGACCTCTTTATGCATATATACATATAAGGAGAAACAGTGATAAAATTTTACATGAATGAGATCATATTATCCTGTCCTATACCCTGCCTTTTTCTCTCAATATATGTCAATAACTATAAATCTACAGAACATCTACATCATCTTTTTTAATGGCCACATATTATTCCATTGCGTGGACTTATGGGTGAGCCATAATTTAGTTAGCCATTCTCTTACCGATGGGCATTTCAGACAGTTCCCAGTTATTATCATTATACAGTTACATTCCTGTTCATACATCTTTGCACACTCATCCTATTATTTTCTTAGGATAAATTCCTAGATGCAGAATTGTTAGATAAAAGGTATGCATATTTTACACCTCGATACATATTGCCACACAGCCCTCTGGAAAAGCCAAACTATCTCACACTCCCACCAACTGTGCCTTTCTGCTTGGATGTTCTGTTGGACTTGCCCCAGGCTGCCCCTCCCTCCTCTCACAGGCTTCAGCTCCCTCGGCATGGATTGTAGAAAGACAAGAGGGCTGTGCTCAAGTCCAAGGGTTTACTTTCATTAGCTCCCTTCATCTGTCCTGTGGCTACACTGCATAAATCTTGAGAATTTCTCCTTTAGATTTCTTCCCTTGCCCATTCCCAACCTCTTTTTTTCTAATTATCTCCAAGAAGTGTGACTTGCAATTCAGGTTATCTGGAATGAAATTCTCGTCATTGCCATAAAGGTATACAGAAGTGAAATTGTCTTAAATTATTCTTGGAAGGAGACGGAATACAAAAAAGAAAGAAAGCAGTAGTAACATCACTTAGCCTGTCATGTGAAGAAAACTGACATTTAAGGACAAATTACTCTTTAGGCCTATCACATAACTTTTGTGCACAATATTGCTATAGGAGACTGCATTTTGAAGGCCTTTCATTCAGTTATGAAACTGAGTACCTACTATGTGCAGGCACTGTGCTCCAGGCTCTGGGGAGACAGAGATGAAGAAGACAAGTTCCTTGCCTGCAAGAAGCTCACATTCTAGCAATGGAGATGTGTAAACAAATACTTTTGAGATAAGTGTACATATTTTATTACAGAGTGGTAAGTATTGTGATAAAGGTATGTTCTAAGTTCTATGTAAGTAGAGTGGTTAGTTCAACCTGGGAAGAGACAAAGAAAACTTCAATGGAGAGAAGGTATTTAAGTGTGGCCTTGAAGGATAAATGGTTTGCCAGGTGAAAAGGGCCACTTCGAGCAGAGCAAGAGCCTGAGCAAAATTATGGAGGTACACAAATGGTGCACTCTTACAGAGATGTGAGGAAGAGGAACTGGCAGGAGATGAGGCTGCAAAGGTAAACCGAGGCCAGATGAGGAAGGAGTTATTCTTCCATCTGTGAGGTTCAGACTTTATCTCAGCAATGAGGAGTTACTGGAGGCTTTTCAGCAGAGAAGCATCATAATCAGAACAGAACTTTAGAAAGATAGCTCTGGTTGCAGGGCAAAGGATGGATTAAAATAGAGACCAGGTGCGAGGCTCCTGTCTAGGCCAGGGAAGGTGAAGACTTATATCCAGGCCATGCAGAAAAAGAGGGATCCAAGAAATGGATATAGAAGCTGAAGGAAACTGTGGGGTCCAAGAGAACTCAAATCCTTTCTCTTGGATATCGACTGGATGGTAATGCCATTAATGGAGACACAGTATATCAGCAGAGGAGCAGCAGATGTGGAGAAAAAGAATCATTTCCACATTGAACATGATAAGTTTGAGGGGCCTGAGGTACATGTGGGAAGTCCCTGGGTGGTGCAAATAGTTAAGCACTCAACTACTCACTGAAAGGTTGACAGTTCAAACCCACCCAGACGCACCTCAGAAGACAGGTCTGGCAATCTGCTTCTGGGTCACAGCCTTGAAAACACTATGGAATGCATTTCTGCTCTGCAATACATGGGGTCGCCATGAGTCAGACTCAACAGCACTGGTTTTTGTTTTTTGTTTTTTTTTGGTGGGACATCTAGGAAAAGATGCCTAGCAGAAAGCTGGCATTGGCATTGGCATCTCAGTTCTGGTGGATACACTATTGATTTTTAAAAATCATATAGGCAGTCATTCAGGCAGTTAAGTTGGCTTGGTGAACAAAGAGAGTTAGCAAGGAAGAGGGCTTAGGATAGAATCCTGGGGAACACTAATGTTTAGAAGCCTGGAAAATGAACTAAGTGAAAGTCTAGGAAAATCAGAGAGATAGGAGGCAAGCCAGGAGAGACTGGCTCATAAAAGAAAAGGGATAAGAGTGTAAAGGAGACAATATGCCCCCTTCTCGCCTTTCCCATCCCTTCCCTGGGCAAAGGATCTTGGGTAGTGGCTTCAGGGATTCCAGGAAGGTGGGGGTTACCAGTGAGAGATTAAGCAAGGATAGAGTTCCTAGGCCCAGTGGCAGAGATTCTGCATTGAGTCTAGGATTTCCTGCCAGTGCTAATAATCGGGAATACTTTAGTCCTTAAGACTCTTTGTACTTTCTCTCTTGGTTCCAAGAAACTGACCTGTCTCTTGCCCAAGTCTTAACAGTTTCTCAATTCAGTAGGTCATTAATGAGCTTAACTTTGAGCAATTTAATTTGAGCCATGTTTATAAAAACAGATACATAAGACATGGTTCCTATTCAACAAAAATTTATAATCTAGTTAGGGATGGGGATGGTGAGAAGAGGTAGGTAACTTTGTATGTAGGGTATACTGTGCTTAAAGCTATAAGCTGGAGAGTCATGAAAGAAACCTTATTGCCCTTCTTAAGAGGTTAAAAAAAAAAAAAAAAGTCTTCTTCCTATATTCCAGGAGAGAAAGGTACACAAAGATGCTGATGATGAGTCCTGGTACAAAAAGACTTGCAGTGGACTGATTTATATCAATCTAGATGGGTGACAAGGGGGGAGAGAAAATCCTTCATGGACTTACCCTTCATTTTCAGCCCTAGGGGGTGGGGAAGGTGGTACAGTGAAATGTCTTTGATTTGAAACTAGCTTGGATCGTCCATAAAGGGGACTTTCTGTCATCATTAAAATTTTCTCCTGATGACACATTTTTCTTTCTTCTTCTAATCAGATCTGCCTCTTGGTTGTTGCAGTACCATGGGATATAGTAGGATGAGTTATAGGAACCACTAATCTGGCCTGGTTTCCTGTGGTTGCTTTTCCCAAGATTGTCTGAACCACTATTTGCCAAAATCATAAGTGATTTTAAAAAAAGATTAAAATATTATATTATTTTTGTAATCTACAAAGAAATTATTTATACACATATTTTCCTCCTCCTCTGCCTTGTCTCCCCAGATCCTCCTCACCATTACCTGTAGCACACAAAGTCTAAATGCCATTATTTCTTGTCAAAACAGGAAACAGAAAAGTAACTTGATTAATGAATACAGTTGGAACTGGAGCCCAGATCTCAAGAGACGTAAATTGGCATCCTTTTCACAAGGCTGCCCTCTCATGTCTGCTTCTACTCTTCCATCTAATCAGTCCAAAATGCTTCCTTCATCACCTTCCCCTTATATATCTCTCACCTCAAATATTCCTGTGGCTCCTTACGCATCTCCAGTAACACTGAAACACAAAGTTATATCCACCTACCAACCTCCTTCCTCTCTGAAAACATATTCTTTACTTCTCACACAAACTCACCATACTTGTCCTAACCTGAATTTTGTACACTGAGACCATGCCATGCCATACAGAGGAGTAAGCCTTTTTTTAAAAATCAGAGTTATGTTCAAATGTACATTTTGCCTCTTAGTAGTTATGTGACTTTAGCCATCCTACTTAACCTTTCTAGTCTCACTTTGTCTGCAAAGTGGGAATAATGCTAGTATATGTAAGGTGCTTAACACAGTACCAGGTACTTAAAAGGCACTTAATAAACAGTAGCTACTACTATGAAAATAATATTTACCTCACAGGATTGTTGTTCTACGTGCCTAACATCTAAGTAGCCCATCAAGAAATGTTAGTTCCCCTCTTCCCGCTGTCCTCAAACTTCCTAGTTCTTTCCAGCAAAGATTCAGAAACAACACAGATTTCTCTATTCAGCTGCAATAGTTGTACACTTAGTAAAATCTTACCACTCATACAGAATAACACCTATTTAGAGTTAAACAGACATCATTCCTCCTCTCAACTTTAAAATTCTGGAAGAGAATAATCACATTTTGTATCTTCCCCAAAAGATAAATTGCATCGTGTCAACAGAGGAGTTGTAAAGAAAGCAATTGGTGGGTGTCCAGGTGCATTTCAGGGTAACCTTGGGTTTCACTACTCCGCAGCTGTAATAAGTAAGTTTGCTGTATTCATCATACAATTGAAGAAGAGGGTAAAAAACCACTTCAGACAATATCCTGTAATTCTAAAGGTGAGACTGCAAGTAGGTAGCACGCAGGTGACGTGGTTCAGCCGAGTGAGGCGTGAATAAATGTGTCTGTGTTCCTGCAGCGTGTAAGTATGTTATCGTGTGTCTCCGTGTCCATAGGACTGAATGTACATTTGTGTGCGCTGGGGTGTCTGAGCGCAACGTGCATTCCCTGGAGCCCGGATGCGTAGCGAGTGAGCGACCGAGCAGACCCCCAAAGGCCTGTCCTCCAGGTGCTTACCTCTGCTGAAGAGCAGGTGGATGCCGCTGGGCGCCGCCATGTTGGCGCCGGTCACGTGGTTACGAGCTCCGGCACTCAGCTCCGCCCCGCCCCTGCCTCTGGAGCCGTCCAGTCGCAGCCCTGCCGAAAACCGGAGGCGCAGAGGCAGCCCGAGGGAAGTGCGCGTGCGCTTGGCGGGCTGACTGCGGGAGCCCTGGCTGGGGGAAAGGCTCCGGCACCGGGGCCAGCAGGGGGAACCGCGGCCGGCCGAGCCCGCTCCGGCCGGCAGAGGCGGGCTCCAGCCGCGGCTGGCGCGCACGCTCCGACCTCCTGCGTACAGGTGGGATGGAAGAAACCTGTCAGGTAAGCGTGGTATCCAGTATTTATATCATCAACATTTTGGTGCATGGAAACGTGAAGTTGGGAGGAAAAAAATAAAGCACAGTCTAGCGTTCAACATAGTACTTTGCGTCTGCCACTTTGTTGCAAATTATTTCCCTAGATTGAACTGAAAGGTAAAATCTGGTTCAAAGTCACCAGCTGCCCACTGGCTGTCCCAGAATCTACATTACTCAGCAGAGACTCTAGACAAGACAGAATCTGTGTGCAGCTGCATAATCTATTCTAGGTACCCCAGTGGATATGTCCAGGGGGCTTTTCTTTCTCCAACGACACCTGCCGCTCGGTGGTTTTGACTAGAGCCTTGATCCTAAATTTGACGTTTAAGAATGAAAGGATGACGCCTGTCAGTTGCGCTGCCAAGAGATGAAGGGTACAAAAGGACAATTATGTGTCAAGTGAGGGAGCTGATGTACCCCTACTGATAACGGTGCCCATATTTACCAATTCCACTGTTCTTCTTACCTGCGTTCTGGGGTAGATTTCCATCCTGTCATGGGCCAGGTGTTATTCATCTTAGTAGCCTCAGTGGCCAGCATAGAACCTGGCACCTGAAAAATGCTTGGTGAAGGAATGGAACTCTCCATAACCCAAAAAGCCCACTGCCATCAAGTCAATTACGACTCATAGTGACCATATAGGACAGAGTAGCACTGCCCCATAGTTTCCAAGGAGCGCCTGGTGGATTCGAACTGCTAACCTTTTGGATAGCAGCTGTAGCTCTTAACCACTACGTCACCAGGGTTTCCAAACTCTCTATGGACCTAGTCAAACCAAGAATGTAACAGTTCCCTGGACTTTAAATGCATAAGGGTCGCTATGAGTCAGAATCAACTCCGTGGCAACTACCAACAAAGATTGATAAGGAGTGTCGTGAATGTGTGTGATGTCTCCTAATTAATTTTAAAAATTAATTTAATTACACACTCTGTGAAAAATCCAGACAATTCAGAAATGAATAAAGGAAAAAGTGCAAGTCTCGTTCCTCACTCTCTATACACACCACAATTTCACTCCCCAGTTAACCACTGTGTGCATCATTCCAGACCTTCACCTTTTACAGGCAAGCATTTGTAAATACACGTATTTTAAAAATTGAATCATCCATCTATTATTATAACTTCCTTTTTGCACTCATTATAAACGTCAAATCTTAGAACACTTAGCTCAAGCTCATTCTTTTCAATGGCCACATAGTCTCTTAAGGAGAATGAATTTTGCCAATTCATCAGCAGACATGCTGTACTTCTTGGAGACCCAGTTTTAGATGCTTTTGGGTCACCTTGAAAGATACATAACGTTCTCCACCGAGATAAATAAGATATGCACGTCTGAGAATGAAATGTATTCCTACAGGTTATTTCAAGCCCCACCTTTTCAGACTCAGATCTATTCCAGGGAGAGGGCTTTTGAATGATGGTAAATCTGTTTTCTGTATAACTGAAGCCAGCAATCTGAGTGCAGCAAAGGAGCATGAGAGTTAGCTAGGCACAGAGACTCACCAAGTGTGTGTGTGGGGTGAGGGGGTGCGGGGGGGGAACCTAGAAGTCCCTAGCGAAACTTCAGAAGGCATTAAGCCCAATTTCAAACACATCTGAAATAGAACACGCATTCATGTGATTCAGCTCAGCAGTCTAGAAGGAAAAGGAAAAGGAAACACTTTGATGGCTCAGGTGGCACCAGCATAGTGGAATCCAGTGAGGAAATCACTGATAAGTTCAGTACAGAATACAGATATCTAGGCTGAGCTAGAAATGAAAGCAGGTGTGAATTTGCACAGGTGATAGCTCATTCAGCAATCCTTGATTTGACTTCTCCCATATCCTTCTGATACTAGAGGGATGAAAAGCTGCCAGCGTTACTTCTCCAAAATCATCACTTTATGAGATTTATACATACTGACCAATGGGTTAAAAGGCTAGACAACTGACATCTAAGATCCCAGCAATTCTCACATTCTGTGATCGTGAGCATTCAGAACATTAGAATGTTTTTATTTAGATGAGTAACCACTAGTGAGTCACTTCGTCTCTACTCCATTTCTGCTCAACTTTCCACCTGTGAAATGAAGGTTAATTATGTTGTGGTGCTTCACTGATTTGAATCTCACCATTATTCAGATTTTGTATTTGGAAGTTGGATTTGGAATTCTTGAAGAAAAAGCTGAATACCATTTTCCAAAACCGGGTTCAAGAAATAAAGGATAATTTCTTAATACCTTCAGTTTCTGTGTCCAACAATTCATTCTTGAATGTTAAACTACTTTTATTGTGATATTATTTTGTATGTCTTTTGCCTTAATTCTTAAAAGATAATGTACTCATTAGCATTTTAAAAAATTTTAATCTTTTTCTATAAAAGAAATAAATCAGGAATTCTGGTGTTAATATTTTTGAAAAGTCAGTTTTTCCTTCCTCCTTCTTCTTCTTAATGGTATTTTAGGCATAAATCATATAAGTTTTTCAAAAGTTGTATTTAAATTATATAGGTTTCTATCATGCATATATTGCATTTTAATTCAATATTCATGTTTTCAAGATGCCATAAGGGATTTTGTGACATGAAGTAAATCCCTTTGAAAATAAATTGTGTTTTGTAATGCATCATCCTGTAATTTGTTTCACAAGTTTAGATTTTTATGTATTTATTGGGATTGCCTATAATGAAACATACTTAAAAACATAGGCTATAAAATAAAAACTAAGATGCTTAAGTATCTATAGAAAAAAAATTGTTATATATGAACCCGTTGTAAAAGTAACTGAAATAATGTGGCATTTCCTACTGGGCACAAAGCAGGTTCCACAGCCTGCTGGGGAAAGTGGTGCGATAGCACCTCCATAGCTTCAGGAGGCATAATTTCTACACGTAATGTTCAGTGACATTGGCTACATTCTTCACATTGTGTCAACAGTCTCATATTTCCATTGTCGTTTTTCCATTCCCATTAATTTAGTCTCACTGCCACCAAACTTTTCATCTATGCTTTAGAGTAACTGTTTCCATTTGGTCTCATGGATGATTTTTAAAAGAACCCGGTTCTCAAGGGGGAAATTCTTTACTTTTTGAGCTAACCTGCTATCTAGTTAAAAGGTGATTTCAGGGGATAGTTTCTGTTCAAGGTTTAAAGAGTATCTCAGGGTAATAGTCTTGGGCACTCTTCCAGTGCTGTGGGTCCAGTAAGTCTGGAAGGCTTGTCATCTTAACTGGGGTGGCTTCATTCTCTCTTCCTGACCCTGCTTCTTGATTTTGCTATCTAAATCAGAAAAATTAGGCTTTTGATTTGATTTCAGGATTATTTATTAGAATTTTACCCTGTGGCTTGAGAAGAATATTCCCAGTCTTATCCTATAATTTGTCCAATTTTATTGTGAGGAGATGCTTTTATTTATTTACAGTTTTTTTAAGTCAAATGAACACTCTTTCCATGAGCTAGGAGTCTTGCATAAATGTAGTTTGCACATACAACAAGGACCTGTCTCAGTAACTGATTGTTAAAGTTAGGGTCCAGCTTCAAATGATTATATGTTTAGGCAGATAGTTTCTAGGACGCTTTCTTGGCCAATTTACTTGCAGAATGTCACGTTTCCTATACCAATCATTTGAGACAATCATAGACATGTTACTAGATAATCTAGGGGTACTCAGAGAGAAAATGTGTAAATACCCCATGTTTGGTGAGGAAAAGTAATGTCATACGTGAGGCAGTTTGTGAGAAATCAGTGGATTTCTCTTTGCTGCCCTGCCCTGTTTCCTTGATCTATAGCAGTAGCAATCCCAAAAGGGAGGAGGAGGAGGGTGGCTCCATTCACATTAGGGCAGAAAGGCAAAAAGTTTCCAAGAGAATTTAGCGATCAATCAATTAATCAATACATATGTAAGTGCCAACTTTATGCTTCAAGGAGATATGGTATTGTCTTTGTTCTTAAGAAACGAACTGGAAAGCTGAGATTTACATGCTCACAAAATTGTCCGTGAGGATGGACTAAACTATACCCTTGAGACTATAAGGCCCTTTGGGGCAACACCAGGTGTTAGAGGTCAGATTCTGGCCATTCCTGGCTGCCAAGAACTGAGAAAAATAATGAGCTTAAATTATATAAATTCCCAGGAAATTGTACCTGTTTAATCTCCTCCACTTTCTGCAAAGGTGAAGACAAGAGAAAGGGAAATAATACATCTCTAATCTGCTCTTGTAAGAGAAAGGAAAATGCTGTCTTGATCTTGTTGGAATAAAAAAAAAATGTCTTTAGTTTTTCTTTTTTTTTATTGTACTTTAGATGAAGGTTTACAGAACAAATAGTTTCTCGTTAAACAGTCAGTATACATATTGTTTTATGACATTGGTTAACAACCCCATGACATGTCAACACTCTCCCTTCTCGACCTTGGAGGACCTTTTTTTTTATTTTTTTGGTGAAAATATTCATAGCCAAAGATACACCATTTCAAAAATTTCTACATGTACGCTTCAGTGACACTGATTACATTCTTCCAGTTGTGCTGCCATTCTCACTATCCCTTTCCAAATTATTCCATCACCATTATCTTCAACTCACTGCCGCCTAGGCTTCCCATCAAACCCCTCAGTTGCTGTTGTCAATTTTTGTACTTTAGATGAAGGTTTACACAACAAATAGTTTCTCATTAAACAGTAAGTACACATATTGCCCTCTGACAATGGTTAACAACCCCACTACATGTCAACACTGTCCCTTCTCAACCTTGGGTTCACTATCACCAGTTGTCCTGTCCCCTCCTGCCTTCTAGTCCTTGTCCCTGGACACTGTGCCTCATTAGTCCCATTTTGTTTTATGCGCCTGTCCAATCCCCGGCTGAACGGTGAACCTCAGGAGTGACTTCACCACTGAGCTAAAAGGGTGTCTGGGGGCCATACTCTTGGGGTTTCTCTAGTCTGTATCAGGCCAGTACGTCTGGTCTTTTTTTGGAAGTTAGAATTTTGTTTTATATCCTTCTCCAGCTCTGTCCAG